ACACACACACACACACACACACACACACACACACACACACACACACAAAGCCAAGAGTACATTTATCTAGAAAAATGCAGATTAAAACCAGTAACTACTGTCAATCATCACCCAAACCAGGAAACACTACGTGTCCCTCACTCTTAAGTGGATAAACAGCAATCTGTGACACACATGAGCACACAGACCACACAAGATCTACTAACCTGTTCTGAGAGCAAGGAACCAAGCCGCAAAGGCAGAACTGAGGCTGGGTGTAGTGGTGCACACCTTTAATTTAACTGTTTCTACTTGGGAGACAGAGGACAAGAGCATCTGAGTTCAAAGGGAGCCTGCCTAATGTACATAGCAAGTTGGAGGCCAACAAGGTAGGTATGTAGTGAGAACCTGTCTGAAGGAATTAAAAAAAAAATCTGTACTGTGGGCATAGTTCTGTGACATTCTGGAAAATACAAACTCAAGAGCACTGATCAGTGACTGAGTAGAGAGAAGGGTTAGTTATCAAGAAGACTGAGTCACCGTGGGGTCCACAGCTCAGAGTGTTTGCTGTGATGTGGCTACATGAAGCTCCCACAGCTCAAAGGCCGGGCTGCTGAAAGAGTGAGTCCTCTTAGAGACAGCCAAGAGCACTCTCCACCAAAGATGTGCACACTTCCTGGGAGGCGTGCACACTTCCAGAGGAGCCTTTGTACATGTTTTGTGCTTTGGTTCTCATTTCCATGTGTGTATACACATCCTCTTCCAGAATCTGACAGACACGTTCACAAACACATCTATAACTAGGCGTGGTGGCACATGTCTTTAACCACAGCTCTCAGGAGGCAGAGACAGGAGGATCTCTGTGAGTTTGAGGACAGCCTGGTCTACAGAGTGAGTTCCAGGACAGACAAGGCTGCAACAGGCCCAGATATCTACTGAACATCAAAGTATACCAAAGGGCCAGAAGAAAAACAGTGAATCACAGCATATCAAAAAGTAGGGGGAAAACCTGAGACTTAACTCAATTGGTACAATGCTCACCTAGCAAGCACGAAGCCCTAATCTATATAAAGCCATCATTATGGTGCATGTCTGTAATCCACACACTTGGAAGGTAAAGGCATGTCCATTCAAATTCATTTTTCATTACAGAGTATTCTAAGCCACCATCTTTTAAAACTTACTTATTTAGGGGCTAGAGAGATGGCTCAGAGGTTAAGAGCACTGTCTACTCTTCCAGAGGTTCTGAGTTCAATTCCCAGCAACCACACACAGTGGCTCACAACCATCTATAATGAGATCTGGTGCCCTCTTCTGGTGTTCAGGTGTACATGCAGGCAGAACACCGTATACATAATAAACTAAATAAATCTTAAAAGAAAAGAAAAAGAAAACCACAATTAATTTTTTAAAAAAGGAACTTGGAGAGGGGCATGGGAGGAGATGAGCAAGGGTGGGATTGGGAGGGAATGAGGGATAGAGCTACAGCTGAGATATAAAGTGAATAAACTGTAATTAATAAAACATTTTAAACTTATTTATTTCTTATGCACATTGGTATATGAACTGCATATATCCCTATGAGGATGTCAGTTGCAGATAGTGGTCAGCTGCTATGTGGGTGCTGGGAATTGAACCCAGGTCCTCTGCAAGAGCAGCCAGTGCTCCCAACCTCTTGAGCCATCTCTCCAGCCCATAAGCCACCATCTTGAGACACACGACACCTTTTCTCAAAAAGCTAGGAGAAACAATTGAAAACTGGAGGTGTGGGTGAGTGAACACGTGTGAACACTTTCACAGGCCTCATGGGAGAGAGACAACAAAGAAGAGAGAGGCGGTAACAAAATGGAAACTTAGGGAAACTGCACAGGTGAGCACAAGGTGAGTGAAGAGAGAGCAGACCCTGTCCTCACTGCTCCCTCCCTCTGAGGTGAGTCCACTGGAATGGTGTAAGAAGCCACAGGATGAGTAACCGAAGGCACAGCCAACCGTGGGATCTGGATCTACAGCCTCGCTGGAGCCTTTGGGTAGCTATGGTCTCTGCTGACACCCTGCTGGCCCTCACAGGACCCTGTGGGCCAGAACCGACAGCACCTGGGGGATAGCTGACCCTCCATCCATCTAGACCAGCTCTTCTCAACCTGTGGGTCTTGATCCCTTTAGGGGTTGAATGACCCTTTCACAGGGGTCTCCTAAGACCATCTGAAAATACAGATATTTACATTATGATTCATACCAGTAACAAAATTACAGTTAAGAAGTAGCAACTATAAATAATAAAATAACTGGTTATAATAAAAAATAAAAATAACTATGGTCGGAGTCAGCACAACATGAGAAGCTGTATTAAAGGGTCGCAGCGTGAGAAAGGGTGAGAACCGCTGCTCTGGACAGTCAAGCAGCATCTATGGTTTTGGCCTGCTAACTTTCCAAATGGTTTTTGCACTCACAATATAGAAAGGGGCTAAAGGAAAGCCAACAAAGGACAAATGGAGTCTTCTAAGCAATTCTAAAAAGGCTCAGAGCAAACAGGGCACCACTCTCATGGAAAGATATGTGATATTAACAGAGGTGACTCTGTAAAGTCGTGGGTAAGGTATTAATTTTAAAAATGGCACTGGGACTACTGTCCATTTGGGGTTGGGGGAAGTGGCCTGGTAATGGGTGTCACTCATTACAAAATAAATTCCAGAGGAAATAAATGTGCCAGAGAAATAGGAATGTACGTCTATGGACTGGAGCGATGGCTCATGACTACATAAAGCCAGGCATGGTGGAGCACACCTGTAATTCCAGCGCAGTGAAGGAAGGACAGCTGGAAGTTCAAGAGCATCCTAGGCACATGGTGAGTTCTAGGCCAGCCTGGAATACTGGAAGTGTCTCAAATGAAAACAGTCTCCAAGGTTGGAGAGATGGCTCAGAGGTTAAGAGCACTGGCTGTTCTTCCAAAGGTCCTGAGTTCAATTCCCAGCAACCGCATGGTGGCTCACAATCATCTATAATGAGATCTGGGGTCCTCTTCTGGCCTGCTGGCTCACATGCAGGCAGAACACTGTATAAATAAAAAAATAAATATCTCTTTAAAAACAAAAAGTCTCCAGCGGCACTCTCAGAGCTCACAACCCTTCTTCATGGGTCACACCTGGAAAAGCATGCACAGGACAACTAACTGTACCCCAATAACAGCTGTGGGGGGTAGAGCATATGCCAAAGTGAAGAGCTCTTCCAGAAGAGTTACTGAAAACAGGCACTGACACAGAAGAGAGATTTAGACACGGTGGCCACACCGAGGGCTTGACCGTGTAAAGGCAAGTGCGGCACTGGGGAGGAAAAGCATTCCAGGCAGAGGGACAGCATTAAGGACCAACACTGTCAGCACTGAAGACCCCATCCACACTTTCTGGGCTGAAATTCCAGTGCTGAGGGCTGAATTTTTGCTTCCCTCTGGAAAACCCTTCTGCTGAAAGGCTGACCCCTGGTGTGATGGAGTAAGAGTCTGGGCTTGAGAGGTTCATTTATGGGGTTGGAGCCCTGGTGACAGAATTAGGGGTCCATCCCTTGAGCAAGCTGTGCCATCTACTGGCCAGACCCTGAATCTGTGGTACCCTGCTCATGGACTCCCCCGCCAACCCCTAGCTGTGAGGCGCATGCCTCTGTGGTCTGTGAGGCACCCACATGCCAGGATGCCCTAACTTACCCCCTCACTATGCTGTACCACGCTGCCCACGTTCTGCAGCGACTGGAAGTTCTGGGTGTTCACAGAGCCGAACTCCACAATTTCATCATCCACTTGCATGCCCTAAAGACAGAAGACAAGGAAAAACCAACCAAGAGGTTGAAGGCGTTTCTGGTACTTTTACTGCTCAATTCACAACTCAGTGGCAGATTCAAGAGTTTATTTCCAGCAGGGGGAAGAACGGGAGGCTCCTCATGTAGGAAGGCTCAGTGGGTGAGCGGCCCACCTCATCCTGGAGGCTCCGGGTGTGTCTAGATGTGCCCAATGAAGGCCTTAAGGAACACAGAAAAAAGCTCCAGTTACTTTCTGGAGTTTCTAATGCAGGTTCAAGGGCAGAAGAGGCCTAATTTTCTGGACGAGACAAACATTTGCTCTAAAAGTCCCTAAACAGCAGCCCCAGGCCTCCCGAGAGCACAGACCTCCACTTTCTCTGTAGCAAGCACTACCACAGGCCGGCTGCAGTTAGGCGCTGGGTGCTGCGGATCCAGCTGTGGCTAAGACTGATGTGCAGAAGGCAGTCTTGTGACTTGATTTTATTTTGCTTTTCAAAATTGTTTGCAGCACTAGGAATCTAATGTAGGCAGAGCTCTACCGAAGAACTAATCCTTGGTTGTTCATTTTTCATTTCAAAACAAGCTTTTGCTAACTTGCCCAATCTTGTGGCAGACCCACTCACCCACCTGTGAAGCTGGGATTACGCAGGTATGCCGACACACCCAACAAGTCTTATGACCTTTTCTTTGTTTAAGTTTGTTCTTTTAATTTTATTATTATTATCTCATTATTTCAATGTGTATTGGTGTTTTGCCTGCTTGCGTATCTATATACCACTTGTGCCAGGTGCCCGTGGAGCCAGAAGAGAGCAATGGATCCTCTGGAACTAGAGTTACAGATGGCCGTGAGCCTCCACATGAGGCCTAGGAATCCAATCTGGGTCCTCTGGAGGGACAGCCAGTGCTCCTAACCACTGAGACATCTCTCCAGCCCCTAGTCTTAGGGTTTAATGGTCATAAGATGACTTGTAGGATCTGGATTCAGAATCCAGTTCTGCTCCCCAGGAGCTGTATGTCCTGGCTCAGGTCACTTCAAGTTTGTGTGGCTTTTTCTCATGGATCAAATTGGGAGAAGAGCAGTACTACCTGAGAGGTGGCCACAGGATTCAATCTAAATGCATGTCCACATACAAACTTCTACATGAATATTCACAGCAACATTATTTATAAGAACCTCAAAGTAGAAGAGATCCAAAACTCCTTAACTGACAGAAAGACAAACAAAACACGTCTATCGCACAATGGGATATAATTTGGACATAAACTGTAATGAAGCCTTGATATATGACTCATCTCTGAAAACTGGACAGAGTGAAAGGAAGCAAACACAAAAACCACACATCACATGACTGCCTTCATGTGGCAGAACAGGTGGAGCTGTCCAGACAAAAATACTGCTAAGTCCCAAGGGGCTTGTCTTGGGCCTTCCAGCTTCTTCTCAGGACCAATGGAAATACTCTAAAATTGGCTGCGGTGCTGGGCGCACAGCTCTGTGACTGCTCTGTATCTTTTACTGAGTCATTCATGGCATGTGAAGCCCATCACAGTAATGCTACTGAAATATTTGCTTAGAATCTATTGAGGAAGACAATTCATTTCAAGCTCTTGTCACTCTTTTTTTCTTTCGTGTCCAGGGAAAATGGCTCAAAGAAGAGCACTTCTTTCTTCTCTGGGACATGTATCACCTTCTACATTGTGTCCCAGTGGTCCTACAACAGGTCTGTCCCTTAGTCCAGTGGGCTGACCCAGGTACACCAAGCTCTGGCCAGCATCTGTTACAGGAATAATGAATTTGGAACCACAGAACGAGAAAATGGCTTTGGCTTCTGGCAAGCCTCTGCAGCCCAGGGCTACCTAACACATAACACTCCGATGGGTGGATCTGGGGGAGCAGGCAAGATTACCGCAATACTGGCTGGGGAACCAGGGCTGATGCTGTTCACTTTGGCGAAGGCCTGAGGCAGGATGGGGCTGCTGGAGCCTAGCCTGCAGCTCCTAGCCTCTTCTTGGGCTTCAGCCATGTCCCGGGCCTGCTTCTCCTTGTCCCGAGCATGCAGCTGGTGCAGGGCCTCCTCCACCTGTTTCATCACTGCCTTGTGATCATTCTGTAGACCTGGGAGGAGAACACCATGTCAGGGGCAAGGGAAGACAGCCCAGGATGTGGGAGCGGTGAGGAGACAAGACATCTGAATTCACTCACGCCGTGGCATATTTTGTCAACTTCCTGAGATTTAGAACCTCCCAAGGCAAGCCTCTGGAAGTGCATCTAAGAACATTTCCAGAGAAGTTAACTGAGGAGGGAAGCCAGTCCGCCTTTAGCGTGGGCAGTACTCCAGCATGAGACAGGGTCTCAGACGGACGGACAGCTTTCGGCTCTTTGCCTCCTGATGCAGACAGGCTATACAAGCTGCCTGAGGCCCCTGCCACGATGCCTTCTCCACCAAGATGGGCTATCCTCCAACTGTTGGCCAAAGCAAACCCTTCCTTCTTAAGTTTCTTTTCCTGGGCATTTTGTCACAGCAGCCAAACAGTAGCTAACACAGAGAATATAATGAGAGCTGACTAGGTGCTGGACACAAAGCCAGAGTCCAAGGAACAGACCAACCTGTGAGCCCGACAGCTGCAACCATGACATGACCTCATATACAGATTAGTGAGCTGTCTCGTGCGGAAGGTGGCTACGGAACCGGTGACTACCGCCACGTCTGAGGACCAAATAATTTGGGATAAGAAGGCCCCTCAAAAGTAGCACAGGCCCTGCTGAGCCCTGAAAGTGGGCAGAAATCAGGTTCCAGCCAGCTGCCACCGTGACAAGACTGCGTGTACAAACAAGGGACAATTACAGAAGTCATACAAAAGTGGGGTGGCTGGGCAGGAGGCGGCACATCTGGGACCCCACACCTGGGAGAGGGTCAGGAGGCCAGTGTAGGGAACACAAACCCTGTCTCGTGGAAAACAAAACTAAAACAAGAGAGAGGCAGAGCGGCTGCTGAAAGGAGTCTCTGGGGTTGGGGGTATAGCTCACTGGTGGCTGTTTGCTGAACACCCATCTGACCAGGGGGTGTGATCCCCAGCACTGCATAAAACAGGCATGGTGGTGCATGCCTGTAATGCCATCAACCAGGAAGTGGAAGCAGAAAGATCAAAAGGTCAAGGCCATGCTCAGCTGTATGTTTAGTTTAAGCCAGCCTAGGGTACATACAAGCCTATTTAAATTTTTCTTTGTTCTTAAATTCTCATACAGAGGGGAAAAACGACCCAAGAGCCCAGGAACTCATGTGTGGGGATGCGCAGTGTAGGGCAGGCACCCTCCACCAGGCTCCTGCCCAACAATGGGACCTGGGAAGTAGATCTAGTGCTGCCAAACCTTTGATTTCCCCAGAAAGGCTGAAAACTGAGGGCTTTGAGGAGCATCGACAACAGCTAATTCATCATGTTGACCCAGGGGCTGAAGAGATGGATCAGCAGTTATGAGTCCCGGCTTCTCTTCCAAAGGGCCCCGGCTCGATTCCCAGCACCCATCTAGTGGCTCCCAACCCTCCATAACTCTAGTCCTAGGGGATCTAATGCTCCTTTTGGCCTTTGGGGGCAACAGGCACACATGCAGTATGCAGGCAAAACACCAATACACAAAAATAAAAGCTAAATAATGATCCACCACGCCGGTCCAACCACATGTCCTGTCTGGAGGCCAGTCCTGCAAGCAGCTAGCATTTCCTGTTCTTTTTAAGCCTAAAAAATGATGTCACTACTTCTCTGGATCCCACTCCTTATTTCAACCCATGTCACTCATACAGCTGTAGTCTCAAAGGCAGCCTGGTACAGTAACCCCATTTGCCAACCCATACATGGCACCCATGGGCCAGACTCTCCAACCCCGAGGGAGCCTCTGGCTGTGGGCTATTTGGTTATCTGACATGGTTTGACATTCCTGTCACTGTAGAGCAAAGGTGAGGCCTTCACATATGAGAGGACGTGGGTACTCGGCTCACTGAAGCAGATATGACGAAAAAACCAAAACAGAACAACATCAAACACCAGGCCAGGAAGGTTTCAAGTAGAGTCAATGTTATCTATGGTCACTGTGACTAGGAAAGCCGCCCCAAATGGTAAAGCCCCCGGGGAGCCTCAGCACGCCCAGAAACGCCTGTATGATCCATACTCAGTGTACTGCTATGGGGGAGAGGAGGAGTGGCCTGGTTGCCAATACATTACAATCCCATATCAGAATTCAAAAGGTTTTCATCACCCAGGTAAACGCTGCTGCAGCAACTCTTTCAAGATGGAGTTTAAGCTGTCACAATGTACCATGCTAATACTTGGTGACTAGGCGACACTGAGGATACAGGATGCAGCTTGTGAGACCTCTCTGTGTTATTTTTCCCAGGTTCAATGTAAGCCTAGGACTGTTCCTTAAGAAAAGTCCATGTTTAAGAATAAAGAAAACTACTAAGGGGGAGTTGTCCAACCATATTCTTAACACGTAATAAAGCCATTAAGGCGATATAAAATTAGCACAGAGATTACAACAGTGTCAAAAGTTCGGATATAGGCTAAGCATAACTGAAGAACCTATGCTGCAATTTGGGGTGTAGCTCAGTGGTACATTCATGTGCACACCCATGCATGCAAGCACGCACACACAGACACACGCACACAAACACACACAGTATGTAACACTGCTGCATTTCAAGAGTGGGAAAAAAACAGTGGTGAAACGTGAAGTTAATGCTATTAATTTCATGTAGTAGTTAATAGACTTCCCCAGGTCCTGCTTATACAGAAGTGAGAGGGCCACATCCCTGGGGTTAGGGATTAGAGGTTGAAGCAAAGCCCAAATTTCCCTCACACCTGGATGTCTTTGCATGGTTTTCCATTCTCTGCATCTCCTTAGTTGTTTTAGTGTAAAACTGAACCATTTTAAAACCAGAATATTCATGGACAAGTGGATGTTCTGAGGTGCTGCATCATCACACTGTGTGTGGCTTTAAGGGCGCCTGCATCTTATTCTGCTTCCTCTCACAGAAGCAGCCTCAGGACTGAAACACTGCAGATGAAGCCAGGGCTGGTGTACACTCAATGGAAATCAAGCGCAAACCCTGGGTGAATGACCTCCTCATATAACTGGGATGGAGGGCCGGTGCAAAGTAAAAGATGCTCACCCCCTCACCCCCAAAGCAGCTGCACATGTGACCTCACAAAACAGAACAGACTGTGCAAGTCAGGTCTAATTAAGGATCCTGAAAGGAGGGACGAGCCTAGATTTTCTAGGAGGGCCCGATGTCATCACAGGGGTCTTAACAAGTTGAAGAGGGAGGCAGATGAGTGAAAGGAAAAGATAACAGAATCAAAGCCAAGAAAGATAAGATCACTGCTTCTAAAGACAGAGGAAGGCGAAGAGCCAGGAGACACTGGTGACCTCTGGAAAGATAAAGAATACAATGTCCCTCCAGCCCCTAGGGGAAGCCCTGCTGACACCTTGATTTTGTCAGTACGACCATCTGCGCTTCCAGCCTCCAGAACTATCTGAGAAAATACATATGTCTGTGACTTATCATGACAGAAACACAAACCTAATATCCTCTCCAGGCTCCGTTACTTCGTTAAAACAATCAGGAGAGGGACAGTGGAACAGGTTTGCCCACTCTCCCTGCGGGCAGAGCCCTGTAGGGGGAAAATGGTGAACTGATGCCAAGACCCTCAAGACAGAGGCACAGCCTGGCTTCTGCTGATCCCTTTACTGCATACTTCAAGGGTCCTACTGAGAGCCAGGCCAGGTCTTTTCTGTAGATGAGGTGACAGACATGTCATGACCCTGAGAAGCTGAACCTACTTCATGAACTCATGGGGCTGCTGAGTGACACTGGTTTGGCCTTCCACTGTTAATTCAATAAAGTTCTCATAATGAGGTAAAGTTTTCATTCTTTATTTTTTATTTTCCCAAACTGGCTTCAAACTCCTGACCATTAGAGGTATGTGCCACAATCCCCAGCTTGAAGCCAAGTTTTTTGTTTGTTTTTAGATTTTTTTTTTTTTTTTCAAAGACACTGGCTTTCTACAGCCGGCTGTCCTGGACCTCACTCTGTAGACCAGGCTGGCCTCAGCCTTACAGAGCTCCATCTACCTCTGCCTCCAGAGTGCTGGGATTAAGGGCGTGTACTACCTCCTGGCTTTGAAGCAAAGTATTTAAAATAGAAGAAATGAAACCACTAACATGGAACTCTGCAGTCCACCCTACCCCCTTGGTTCTCAGTCCCACAACAGGAGCGAGATGATTCTGTCAAAGCAGAAAAGCTTTGTAATGTTCCACACTAATCATTCCCCTGTGTCTCAGCCCCTCCCCCACCCACCAGACGCTAGGACAGAGCCTCAGCGAGGGTCACTCACAGATGATGTTGTGCCTTGCTGTTCGGACCTGGTACAAGTCCACATCCGCCCGGGGATAGCCCTCACAGTCCACCAGCGGCTCATTCATCCCAATTCCTTTTTGCTGGAAGAAAGACATGTGCGTAAAAATTTAAAGGGTAAGAACATCAAGGTACAATCCCCTAGACCCTTTTCCTTCCAAGTCATGATAAAAGTGACAGTAAGGGCTACCTAATGATCTCTTTCGAACACACCAGGCTTTTTACCCTCTGCAGTGGGTACTAGTTTTTAAATTAATTTTTAATAATGAAAGCAAAGCAATGTGGCCACAGAGATGGATCAGTAAATAAAGATGCTGCCAAGACCAACAACCTGAATTCAATTCCTGGGACCCACATGAAGGTGGAAAAGGAGCACAAACTCCACAATACACACTCTGCACCAGGGCCCGCACCCCAACACACACACACTATACACACAGTAATAAAATGAAGTCTTTAAAAATAATGCAAGCAATGCATGGGACAGTGCACACAGAGTACTTGATTAGTACATGCACGACCTTGGATATAATTCTCTGCAGCACAAAAAATGTAATAAATAGAGGGGTAGAGACACAGGCCATAGCTGTTGCTGGAGTGCTTGCCTAGCGTGCATAACACATTGGACTCATCCCTAGTACTGCATACGCCAGGTGTGGTGTTATCAGCGTGAGGTGGAGACAGGAGGATCAGAAGTTTGAGGCCATCCTTGGTTACACAGCAAGTTCAAGATTAGCCTTTGATACATGAGATCTTCACTCCAAAACCAATTAATTAAAGCAACAACAGAACAGTCAGAGAGCCCTCAGAGCAATCTCTCAGCCCCATCCCTGACCTGACCCTCCAGCTCCTCCTCCCAGGAGCTGAAGCCTTGACATCAAGGCTGACTGAAGCCTTGACTCCGGAGGGAGTAAGCTACCGAACATACAGCTGTGTTTTGACTCTTCTAAAAATAAAAAGACCAAAGAGGCACACCAAGATTTTCTTCTTCATCACTGGATGGCACTGGCTACCTCCAAGGAAAGGGGGTGGGGTGGAGGGAGCTTTTTGTATCTGATATCCATTAGCAGGTTCTTAACCTAAACACAGGGGGAATATATATACATTGAAACAATGCATTTTTTTTAACGCCTTTTTTTTTTTTTTTTTACTGTCACTGTGTTTACTGTTCTCAATTTCCTGGGATCAACCAATCCTCTCGCCTCACTGGAACTGACTCACTGGAACTAGAGGTATGTCTGTTTCTCTGCTCTGGGCCTGTTTTAGCAACTGTTTATTTGAGGCAGGTTCTCACACTGTAGCTCAGGCTGACCTTGCATTCATGGCAATCCTGCTTCAGCTTTCCATGTCTGAGCCACCACACTAAGTTTTCCTACATAAATCAGGGGACAAAGTGCAAAAGCGATGGAATGTGTGAGCAGGAGCTGTCCAGTTGCCTAGACTTTGATCTCAATCCCAATTCTGCCTTACGAAAGCTCGGCATCTTTGTCTAAGACACATTCCAAGCCTCCGTTTCCCTGGCTGCACAGTAGAGATACAGCACACACCTGCTGCTGACACAGACACTTGAATGAGGGCTTAGAGGAGAGCCAAGCCCACGCATGGGTGGTGGATTGAGTGTGGGCCCCAAATACGTCCACACCTACTCCCCAGAACCTCTCTAACTGTGACTCTGTGGAGAGGGGTGTGACCAAGCCAAGGATCTCAAGATCAGTTGAGGCAGGAGAACTGTGCCAATTCTCTTCAGTTCTCCAACAATCAAGGAAGATATTCCCATTTGGGACTAGCCTGGGTTCCACACTAACTCCAGGACCCTCCATTTAAAACAGCTGTAACGCAACAGAATTCGTATACAGAGAAACTGAGCCACTGACAGTATAAATTCAGTGATTTGTAATTTGTTAAAGAGTTAATCACCCACCACACAGTCAGCTTAAGCACATTTGCATCAACAACCCTGAAGGAAAAAAGAAACCCTGGGCAGACCCACACCTACAATCCCAGCATTCAGGAGGCTGAGGCAGGAGAATATGGAATTTAAAAACCAGCCTGACTGAATACCAAGACCTTGACTCAAAAAGAAGTTTTCTTAATGCAGGGGGTATGGATATTAAGAGACCTATTGACCAAAAAAAAAAAAAAATGCTATCTATCGTGGAGGTGTTCTGAAACTCTAAAATATGTCTGAGAATTATAATCAACAGAGAAAAGGTTTGTTGAGGCTCATAGTTTTGAAGTTTCAGTACAGAACTGGACAGACACTTTGTATGTATGTATGTAGTTTTGGAGATGTTTTTAGCTCTGTGTAGAGGTAGAACATCATTGTGGAAGCATATGGGAAAGGAGGCAGCTTCCACCATGATCCCAGGAACAACAACAAAAAGGCCCATGGTTAAACTGCTCCTGTGGTGGGTCCTCTGCCGACCTACAGCAGCCTCCCCAACGAGGGCGAGGACACACCTCCACCAACCTCCAGAGAACTACAGAGCTCCACCTCTGTAACAGTCCACCGTGTCTCAAGAGCATTGCCCTGGGCAGCAACCTTTTAACAGGGTCTTCAGAGACTGACAACAGGACACTTCATACGCACAGGACCGTGCAATGCCAGGCACACTGACACATTTATAATCCCAGCATTTGGCAGGCCAAAACAGAAAAATCACAGATTTGAGCCAGCTTGGATTGTTAGCCAGACAAGTGCCAAAAAAAGAGGCTAGGTATGGCGGTGCCACCCGTAACCCCGGCACTCAGGAGGCTGAAGCAGGAGGACCGCCAAGAGGTCAAGGCTCACCTGGGCTATGTAGTCAGTGCTGACAGCTGGCCAGAAGGTGAGAGGACGACGCCTGCACTACATGACGCTGGGCAAGTTTGTCAATGTTGTCAAGGCTGATTTACTCGACGGCATAGACTTCTAGTTATAGGATGACCTCGCTCACTACTCCTCTTTACTGTCAACACTCCATGTACTGGTAGACTATTCTATTTATCTGTTCGCTGAAGGATATTTGTGTCGTTTTCCATTTCTTGGCTATTTTAGACAATGTGCATATTTTTTGGATGAATATATATTTGTGACAATCGTAATTATCGAATGAGGGATGGATTTTCTGGGTTATATGTAATCCTGTGTTTAGCATTTTTTGAGAAACTGCTAAGCTGTTTTGGACAGCAATTACACCATCTTACAGTTGCATGAAGTTTCCAATTTCTCCATATTCTCCCTAAGGTATCACCTCTATCCTCGTTATACCCATCCTGATGAGCATGAGGCAGTTTCTCTGTGATTTTTAACTACATTCCCCTAACAGCTATGACTGTTCAGCATGTTTTGCTTTTAAGATTTATTTTATGTGTATGAGTGTTTTGTCTCCGAGTACAGATGTGTGCCATGTACATGCAATAGCCAGAGGGGTCAAAACAGGCATCGGGTCCCCTGGAAGTGGAGTTACATATGGTTGTGAGTTACCACACGTGTGGGTGCTGGGAAGTGAACCCCAGGTCCTCTGTAAGAACAGACAATGCTCTTAAACACGGAGCCATCTCTCCAGGCCCTGTTCCAAATGTGTTCATGTGCTTCTTTATCAGCCAGATAGATTTTACTTGAGGAATGTCCATTTAGATCCTGTTTTTTCTAAGTGGGTTATTTGTGTGTTTATTACTGTATTTATTACTGCTTTTACTATATCCCAGGCACTAGCTGATGAGGCAGTTTATAACCATTTTATTGTATCCCGTGGATTCTCTTTCATATTCTTTGGTTTGTTTATTTTTATTTTTTCCTCAATGTTCTCTTTTGTTTGAATTCTGAGCAGTCTGAGCCACTCTTAAACTTCCAGGGAACTGAACCCTAGACTCTCAGATTCAGGCTCAGGAGCCTTATCAATGGAGCTATCCAAGCTTCCCTCTTTCATATTCTTGACTAAGTACTATGAAATGCATTTTTAATACTGATATCTAATTTGTTATTTTTCTTTCATAATTTGCTTTACTTTTTTTTTCCTGGCAGGGTCTCACTATGTAGTCCAGACTGCATACTGAGAGCCTGTCTTTTTGTTTGGTTTTGTTTTTTTGAAACAGGGTTTCTCGGTGCAGCCCTATCTGTCCTGAAAATCACTCTGTAGACCAGGCTGGCCTTGAACTGCCTGCCTTTGCCTCCTGAGTACTGGGATTAAAGGTGTGAGACACCACCGCCCAGCTGAAAAACTGTCTTAAAAAAGAGAGAGAAAGAGCAGACTTTTAAGCTTAAAGCTCAGCAAACAAAAAGCAAATTAGCCAAAGGTAATTAACATACATTGAAAAACAAAGAAAACAGCCTCATAGCCCATGTGCAATGAAATTATAAATTTTCCTTTTATTTATTTATTATGTGCATTTATGGTTTTGCCTGCATGTATGTCTGTGTGAGGGTATCAGATCTTGGGGTTACAGACAGTTGTGACCTACCGTGTGGGTGCTGGGAATTGAACCCAGGTCCACTGAAAGAGCAGTCAGTGCTCTCAACCACTCACCAGCCCCTCTATTGGCTTTTAATGCACGTGTTTGTGTGCGTGCAAATGTATGCAGGTTCAGCGGCACGTGCAGATGTGTATGCATACCCAAGCTATGCATCTTCAGGTCAGAGGGGAATGCGGGAGGTCGATACAGGGGCGCTGACCTCAGGAACATCACCTACTTCCTTTGAGACAGGGTCTCCCTGGCCTCCACCTCATCGCTCAGGCTAGACTGGCTGGCCAGAAACCCTGGGGATGAATCTTCCTGTCTTTGACTGTCCAGCTGGGATTACAAATGTGAACCACTACGCCCAGGGGTTCTAGGGACTGAACTCAGGTCTTCAGGCTTGTGGGACGTGCACTTTACAGGATGAGCTATAACCCCAGCATCTCCCTCCCCTTCACTGCTCTGTTCAGACAGGGTCTTGCTATTTCTCTATATAGTCCTGGCCATGAATGTGTGGCAATTCCCCTGCCTCTGTGTAGTGCTGGGAGTGAAGGTATACATCGCCACACCCAGCTAAACAGTATACAGTAGGCCAAAACTAATAGAATAACAGTACAGAAGATGTTTGAGCCTACCTGGGGTAGGTAAGTAACTTCAGTTTAAGAAATTGCTTTGGCCAGGCAATGGTGGCTCAGCTCATGCCTTTAATCCCAGCACTTAAGAAGCAGAGGCAGGTGGATCTCCGAATTCCAGGACAGGCATCAGTACACAGAGATAAAAACTGTCTTGTCTCATAAAACAACAACAAAAGGAAATTGCTTTTTTATCTGTTTTAAGCCATATATGTGGGGTTTTTATCTATCTTCTTATGTAGATGAGCGCTCTATCTGCGTTTACACCTGCATGCTAGCAGGGGGTATCACACCACATTACAGATGGTCGTGAGCCAGCATGCAGTTGCTGGGAATTGAACTCAGGACCTCTGGGAGAGCAGACATTGCTCCTAACCTCTGAGCCATCTCTCCAGCCCCATCTATGTGGGGTTTAACCCATATTATAATATGTTTTTTTTTTAATTTGGGATTTTAATTAACTCAGTTTACATCTTGATCACAATAATTTGGGTTTTTAATAGAGACATGTTGTGCATGTGCCTGTGTGTATGTGTGTAGCTCTGCCAAGCAAGGTGGCACACATTTTATTTTGTTTTTCGAGACAGAGTGTCTCTGTGTAACTGCTCTAGCTGTCTTGGACCTCATTTTGTAGTCCAGGCTGGCCTCACACTCACAGGGATCCCTCTGCCTCTGCCTCTCAACTGCTGGGATTAAAGGTGTGCATCATCACTGCCCGGCTGAGATTTGGGTTTGCTAATGTTCCTTAAAAAAATGTATTTATTTACTTTTGTTTTATATTCATTGGTGTTTAGCCTGCATGTATGTCTGTGTGAAGGTGTCAGATCTTGGACTTACAGACAGTTGTGAGCTGCCACGTGGGTGCTCAGAATTGAACCCAGGTCCTCTGGAAGAGCAGCCAATGCTCTTGCCTGCTGAGTCATCTCTCCAGACGAGGCTAAAGCACCCGTTTAGATATAGAGTTACAGGTGTTTGTGGAACATGTGGGATTGTTACACATGTGCTGGATCCAAACTCCAGTCCTCACTGACAGAGCAGCCGGTGATCTAAGCACTGAGCCATCTCTCCAGCCCCTGACTTTGCCTCTTAGAGCTTCAGGGATACACACCAACTTAACAGTGTAGTTGTGACAGTTTCCTGATACAGCACACATACCTTCCAGGTGTATGGTCAGCACCTAGTAAAATGGTACCCGGCATGAGAAACCTCTCCATGATACACCATCTTACCCAACATCACCTAAATCACTGCACCCAGCCTATCTGGGTCTGACTCAGCCTCCCCTTCCTCTACAAACTCACTTTCAATTTTAAGAAAAATACGTCTGCTTTGGAGGTAGACAGATCACAGAACCTGAGCCTGTACTGACTGAATCTGGCAAGCATTTGCTCCACTCTGGGCCTCAGTTTCCCTTTTTACAGGAAGAATAGTTCACTTTTACTTGTCATTCAAAGCAGTTCTAAGCAGTGCAGCTGGGAGTTTTCTTGAAATGCAGCCTGTTCCCCACCCCAATTAGAACATGCATTTTATTTTTGTTTCTGTTTTTCTGAGACAGGGTCTAATACAGCCCAGGCTGGCGTTGAGCTAACTATGTAGCCAAAAAAACATCCTGAACTCTTTAAGTTCTTGCTGCATCTTGCAAGTGCTGGAATTAAGTGAGGATGCCTTTCCTGCGTTTTAACAAGATGCCCAGTTAATTCTCACAGATGACGTTTGTTAAGTCCTAATGAAAAGCGGGTGGCAAGGCAGGCCAAACCGGGTAACGTGACCTACAGAAGATGACAGTGGCGATTATCACTGTGCCTCAGCAAACCGAGGCAGTTTAACTAATGCTTCAGGCCTGTAATTTCTGTACTCAGAAAGCCGAAGCAGGAGGATCATGAGTTTGAGGCCAGCTTCGGCTGCATTTAAAACTAAACTAAAAACCCACAGTTAGTGCTTCAGAAAAAGAAAATAAATCCCATGTCAAGGGGTAACGTCGCCTGGCACGCGGCACAAGCCCCCTGGAATGATGCTTGCCAGGAACCCCGGAGGCTCACCAGCAGGCCTCCCCGACCTCTCCACCGGGAGCCCTGGCCACACTCACGCTCTCCAGGACGTCGTAATTAGCTTTAATCTGTGCCTCGATCTCCTCCTTGCGTCGCATCAGCTCCTGGATGTCGCTGACCGCGGCCGCACGGGCCTCGGAGGACTCTGCCCTGTGCCGGGCTTCCTCACCCGACATCGCGGACCTCAACCTGGTGCACTGGACGTCTGGTTTCCCGGCTACGGACGCCGGCGGAGACTGTGGCTACGGGTCCCCCCGAGGGCCAAAATCTCCCAGCCAATCCATGAGCAAAAGGAAAAGTAAAGGGTGGAGCTTGGAAGTGGGGCGAAGTCACCGGAAGCTCCCGCTAGGTACACCGCAGACGAGTCTCAGATGACCCGGAAGAGGTAAATGGAGGCACACACAAGGCAGGCTTCTATTCCCACTTCATAGCCGACTCATTTTCACTTTTCTTTTTCCTTCCTTCTCTTTTTCTCTACGTTTCCCCCCTTTTCTTTCTTTTGTTTTTCTTTCCTTCTTTTATTTATTCATTCATTCATTCATTTATTTATTTATTTTTGAGGTAGGGTTTCTCTGTATAGCCTTGACTGTCCTGGACTCACGTTGTAGACCAGGCTGGCCTTAACCTCACAGATATCCGCCTGCCCCTGCCTCCCCTTTCTTTCTGATTAAATAAAAAAGAATGAGCTAATGGCAAGACAAAGCTATATATATATAAAGGCAGGTTTATTTGGAGCAGCGAGGGAGGGGGCGAGGAAAGGGGAGCGCACGCTGGGGGTGGGCGTAGGGGGAGAAAGGGTGAAAAGGAGCTTCGGATCCAAGGAGCCTGGTTACAGAGAGAAGGATCTCTGGAGAGGAGCCCTGCCCCTAGGTAGAGAGCAGAGAATGGCAGCCACGCCCTGCAGCGGGTAGGAAGTTTAACACTTTCACTTTGGTTTGTTGTTTGTTTGTCTCAAGACACGGTTCCCCTAATTCTAACCCCAGAACTTCCTCTGTAGACAAGAGTGGCCTCGAACCTGCCTCTGCCTCCTGAGGGCCAGGAGCCACCACGTTCCATTCACACTTTTATTTTTCATTCACTCCGCGTTTATTGTGCACCAGCTGTATGAATGTAAGAGTATTCTGTCCTGCTGCTCCAGCTCAGTTCTAAACAACAACAACAACAAAAAAATGCTTTCAAGCGTTTGGCTGTTTTTCAGACAAGATCATTTTTACCTCAGGCTGGCCTCAAACTCATTAAGTGGATGAAGATGACCTTGGAACTTTTTTCAAGTTTTTTAGGATATTCTACAATTTCATACATGTCTACAGTATATATCTTGATCACATACGCCCTCAATGCCCCCATCTGCCCAGTTCCTACTTCCCACATCTTCGTACCTTCAAATCCTCATTTTTTTTTCAAACCTACTGAATCCAATGGTCTTGAACATCTTATCCTCCCTCTTCTCTCTCCACAGGCAGGGATTACAGGCATGTGCCACCAGGCATGGTCTACTCAATGCTGGGGACCAAACCCAGGGTTTCATGTATGCTAGGGAGCACTCTGCCAACCAAGCTGCATCCCCAGCCACTCTCAGGCTTCCTACCCCTCGTGGTACAAACCCCATAACCCTGCATTTGAAGCTGGACTGTTGCCACTGTAGCCCATGTGACCTTAAAGGATCTCACTCTCTGATCTCTTCCCTTATTGTGCGGCACTCACAGCAATCTGCCTCATAAAGGTCTCACCTCTGTCATGAGGTGCTGGTATAACAAGACCTCTAGACCTCAGCACATCTGACTCCATGATGGAAGTGCCGTTCAGGCTGTAAAACACAGCAGCATATAGATACCTGCCAAAACTAAAACAAAGGCCTAAGCCATCAAAGTCTATAGTTATGGGAAAATCTCTAATGTCCTAACCTTGCTTTTTGGCCTCTGTAGTTCTACTTCTGGCTGTTCTTGTTAACTGAAGTGCATCAACCCAGGACATGGTTTTTGTGCTTAAAAGCTCAACCTGAAAAAGGCTCAGGGCTACACTGGGGTCCAGAACACCCAGTGTAGTGCTGGCTGGCTAATATAGACTTTCTATTGACTTAAACCCATGTCTGAGCAGCCTTCTCTGGTGAATCTCCCACAACACTGGAGTGGTGAGGAATATGAAGTAATGTCAAGGCTATAAATGTAGGTAAAAATAGAAATGGGGCAAGGGTCTGGAGAGATGGCTCAGAGGTTAAGAGCACTGACAGCTCTTCCAGAGGGCCTGGGTCTAGTTCCCAGTGTTCATGTGGAAGCTCACAGTTGTGTTACTCTAGTTCCAGGGAGTCCAGTGCCCTCATCTGCCCTCCGTGACCATCAGGCATAAACAAGGCACACATACATGTGTGACAAAGCCCTCGCATGTTCTCTTAAGGTTTCTATGGCTGTGATGAAACAGCATGTCCAAAGCAACTTAGGAAGGAAAGGGTTTATTTGCTTTCATTCCACATCGCTGTTCATCACTGAAGGAAGTCAGGACAAGAATTCAAACAGGGCGGGAACCTGGAGGCAGGAGCTGATGCAGAGGCCATGGAGGAGTGCTGCTCACTCCTCGTGGCTTGCTCAGCCTGCTTTCTTAGAGAACCCAGGACCACCAGGCCAGGGATGGCATCACCCACAGTAGGCTGGGACCTCTCCCATCAATCACTGATTTTTTTTTTTAATGCCCTACAGCTGGAGCTTATGGAGGCATTTTCTCAGTGGAGGTTCCAACTCTCAGATAACCTTAGCTTGTGTCAAAACTAGCCAGCTCACACACATATAATGAAAACAAAAATTTTAAAATAAGGGATGGGAGTCCAGCTCAGTGGTAGGACACATGCACGCATGAAGTAGGAGCTTGATGAGAAAGGACGATAGATCTCAAATGCTGTTCTACACGCCTTGCATGTGGCGGTCCAGCAACCCAACGAAACCAAGCATATTGTTGCCCTTATTTGACATCAAAGAAAACCATTTCAAGCAGGGAGTGGTGGCACATGCCTTTGATCCCAGCACTCAAGGAGGCAGAGGCAGGCAGATTGTTTGTAAGTTCAAGGCCTGGTCTGCAAAACGAGTCCAGGACTGCCAAAGCTACACAGTGAAAGCCTGTCTCTCAAAACAAACAAACAAAAAATCAACAGAGTCCAGTGAGTATCCTTTGATGGGATCTGGTTCCATTTCGCCACCAAAAATACTACAAAAGCTATTCTTGGGAACACCTGAAGATGTAGATACAGCCTGCATAATATCAATGTTAAATTTCCTCATTTGGTTCTCGCACGGTGGCTGTATGGGACCGTGTCCTGACGATGTACCTTGTATTATAATCAACAAGGTAGATAGTAGGTGACTTGTTGCCCAGTGGCTCGGAAACTGGACACAGTGGTGAACACCTGTGACCTCAGCACTCGGGAGGCTGAGGTGGGAAGATCTCAGGTTTGAGGGAAGCCCTGGCTCTGTGGCATGATTCTGGGTCAATAAATACAAACACTGGGCAAAAAGAAAGAGCGAACGGGAGAGAGACACCAGAACTAAATGTAACACATGGTTTCTGACTGGCTACTGGACACTTGTAGTGTAAAATTGCTGCATTATGTGTTGCTGAGATGGCTCTGTGGTACTGGAGTTTGCTGCCAAACCTGAGGACTCACGTTCAACCCCCAGAACATCAGAGAGAAGGAGAGAACAGAGTCCTGAAAGTTGTCCTCTGACCACACAATAAACAAACAAACAAACAAACAAACAGCAGTTGCTTAGTTTGGAGTTTGGAGAGATGCCTCAGCAGTTAAGAGCACTGGCTGCTCTTCCAGAGGACCCAGGTTTGCTTCCCAGCACCCACATGTTGGTTCACAACCTTCTATAACTCCAGACTCCCTCCTTTGCCCTCGAAAGCCACCAAACACATCTGATATTGTGGAAGGAAAATACTAATACACACACACACACACACACACACACACACACACAAAATAAAATCTCTCTTTCCAAGAAGCAGCTTTAAAAGATGCTATTTAGAGCCAGGCGTGGTGGTGCACACCTGTAATGCCAGCACTCAGGAGGCAGAGGCAGGTGGATCTCTGTGTATTCAAGGCCAGCCTGGTCTGTAATAGTGAGCTCCAGGATGGCCAGAGCTACATAGTGTGAAAGACCCTGTCTCAAAAAAAACAAACAAGCAAAAAAATCCAAGTAAGGGGAGCTTAGGAATTTTAGTTGGTGAAACACTTATTTCACACACTCACACTCACTCACACACACACACACACACACACACACGTCTGAATAAAATCACAGTATTTTGTTGTGGGTTATTAATATTTATATCTGATCTATCTTTTAGTTAAACAGCGGTTATTCCTAAACCAGTTGTATACCCAAATCATCACACAGAGACCTAGGATTTACTTAATTAACCAAGAGCACAATGCTGAGCAATGATTACTCCATCCTAAACCTCCAAGCCCATATAGCTTCCTCCCATTCAGAATTTCCAACATTATGTTTGCTTTTACTCGTATCTTAGGTCCCATTGTTCATCTCTCCTTCTGGTTCCAAGTCTTCTCCTGCTCATCTCTGCTCTCCCACTCACTTCCTTCTCTTCCCCTCCGGACCAGGATGTCCCACCCTATTCTCTCTATTGCACAGCATTGGCTGGTTGTTTTATTGGCAATATAGAGAACAAATGGTGGCATGTTTACACAAACTTGAGACAGGTGATGCTTAGAATAAACATCACAATGCAGTGTCGGGATTGAAAGCAGATAGTGGGATAGAGAAATCAGCATGTGAATGAACAGAGGTAAATTGTATACTGTATACATTCCACAAGAACATTATGCCAACAGTATCTATAATAAATGTGTGTGTGTGTGTGTGTGTGTGTGTGTCACAGTAAGTCAATGTAGCCTCCTCACTGAGAAAATTGTGTTGTAATTACATAAAAGAATTTCCTTACTGAAAGACAACAAATGCCCTAGTATGAGGGAGTCATGATGTCTACCGCTACCTTACAGGCAGTGTCAGGCTTTAACAAAGACGCAGGGTGGTGTGAAGAAGCCAATGTAACGATATGTAAATCAGGGGAAAGGTATGCAGACGTCTGTGGAAACTGGCAGATTTTCTGAGCTTTGGAGGGTATCCAAATAACAATGACAAGGAGGACGTTCTCCCCAGAGCCATCTAAAGCCAGGGCTGTTAGCTAAGTGATTGAATTATGCTGTTACATCAATCTGGTTGTGATCAGGAAACCTATGGGCAT